AACTGTCTTGAAAGTCATTTTATAGCTATATTATCTTTATTTTAAAGGTATGTTGTAGCTTATGGCAATGAAATATTCAAATAACCTATGTGAATGTTTCCCGTATCCTTTCAAATGCACTGAAATAGAGACGGGTCTTTAGCTTTTATCACGCTTCGCTGTTTAATGAAACGATGAATGTGAGCTAAAAGAATTTAGTGGTCATAAGATTTGCGCAAATATTGATGACACTTACATTTAGCTTGGCGTGGGCTAACTTTCTCCATCCTACATAAAATTCCTGCTAGCACAAGCAACTCGAAGCGCTAGCCATGGCCGAATAACACTGAAAAGAGCTCCTTCCTTTATTTCTGATCTCCAACTTTCCCGCTCCGATGCGACACTGTTATGACGCCTTTGGTTGGGTGTTGCATTCACAAAGGTGTACTCTTTTCACATTGGTATGGCAGACACTTCTACATGCGACTACTGCGGAGCTGAAGAGACCATTGAACACGTTCTGTGCAGCTGCGCTTGCTACGATACACAGCGATGTTAGCTCCGGATGGTTTTGAATCAACTTGACTCCAGACCATTTTGTGTGCAGAAGATTCTAGGACCTTGGGCATCTGCCGCAGTTGCGCAGAAAACGACTAAAGCACTGCTACTTTACTTTAAGTCAACAAACCTGAGCGACCGCCTGTAGACTGTGTGTGCTCCCCGAGTGTGCTCGTGATTGTGTGTACCTTCTTATCTCTGTGCAACCTCTTTTCTCCCCTTCATCCCTTCCCCAGTGCAGGGTAGCAGACCGTATGTGCGTCTGGTTAACCTCCCTGCCTTTCTTTGCATGTTTATCTTTCTCTCTCTCCAATGAAAAAAAAGATTGCTTTACTAAATGTTATTATGTACCTACTGCCGATAGACCCAATGTCAATATCACACGTCTTTAGCTATATAAGTCGCCCTTTTTGCCACGATATTTTTGAGAGAGGGAAAATTTGAAAACTCTTTGAGGACTGACAGTTCATGTCTTCCCTAAATGCTTTGCATGTTCTTTTTATTATCATAGGTGTTTTCCACACGTGCAAAGTGCGCATCAAAAAAAGGCGATGTTGTCCCAGTTCCTTAGGTGCCTTGCGTTGACGCATTTAAGAACATATGTCAGCATCACGAATTGACCCCATGTTTTCTACAGCCTAATGATCCCCGTCAGCAGTTATGCTCAATTATCTGAAAAAACAATGTTCATGCATCGACGCTTAACTTCATAAAAAAACTTTACTAGGAGCATGTGAAATAAACCAGCCTGTTTTATCGATAATTCGTTATCGAAATCGTTCTAGGAACCAGAGAAAAATACATGGAGCCTCTGCAAACTTCTAATCGTTATTATTCGTTTCCTATAATATTTCTGACGGATTTTTTTCACATAGTTCTATCATTGTAATTCACGTATGCAGAAGAAGGGCATGAAATGCGTTTTGTTCCATCAGGACGTTTTGAAAACGACATTCGCGTTTTTATTAAAGCAGTGGTTTTTGAAAGGGGGTATTTTCAGCCTAATGTACTTAGCGTGTCCGAACATCTGAGAAAGCTTCACCGCGAAGTGCCCCAGTAAAGTATTTAGGATATAACAAGATGGATGCTGGCATGTTCTTCTTCCTGGTGTAAATGGTGGCTAGCTACCATGAAGATGTGCGCGGATTCATGTGGGTAGGAACAACTGATAACAATCTGACCATATTTGATGCAACGTTTGCCTCGCGTAATCTCGTCTCCACACTAGCTGGGGCACTGGCCTTTCAAGTGCCTAAAGTATGCATTCTTGAGTAGAAGAACTTTCTGCTGAGTTATTTAGCACACGTAAATGCAATAATTTGGAGGCATAACAAAGGCACAGCAACGACCTGAGGGACATTTAGAAAAACATACTTCAAAGATTTCGGATATTTATTTGTGTACGAAGTAGCATTGATTTATATGTGGGGTTTGACGTCTCAAAACCATCTTATGATTATGAGAGACGCCGTATTGGAGGGCTCCGGTAATTTCGACCACCTGGGGTTCTTCAACGTGCCCCCAAATCCGAGCACACGGGCGTACAGCATTTCCGCCTCCATCGGAAATGCAGCGGCCACAGCCGGGATTCGATCCCGCGACCTGCGGGTCAGCAGCCGAGTACCTTAGCCACTAGACCACCACGGCGGGGCGTGTACGAAGTTGCTCTTCAGAATTTAAAGGCTGAAGCGTATAATTATGTAGGTTATGAGGGAAGGTGTCATTTGTTAGTGTGTTTACGGTATTTAACGCTGAATATGAACTCGGAAAAGGTGAAACGACGTAGTGAAGGGCACCGGACAATTTCAACCAGCAGGAGTTCTCTAATGTGGACCCACATCGTACAGTGCACGATCTTCTAGCATTTAGCCTACAGTGCAATGCTGCCACCTCGATTGAATTTGAATCGAACGGAATTATATCTATTGTACCATGCGAAACACGGCTATGCATAGTGCACCCGGCGCAGTCCACAAATGCCAAACTTTCGTGTCACCACCCGAACTCCGTAACTACTGCACCAAAACCACCATATGATTATGAGAGACGCCGTAGTGGAGGGCTCCGAAAATTTTGACCAACCTGAGGTTCTTTAACGTGCACCCAAATCTGAGCACACGGGCCTACAGCCACCTTGGAAATAAAGCTGAAATGCGGATAAATTAGCCAATTTTGTTGCCGCTTGCTTGAAAAGATAACAAATTATCGTAAGTGCTATTGTATATTTTCAAATAAATGAAGCATGAACCTACTCCTTAGGCACTTGAAGAACACTAAAGTTTTTTTTTTTTTGTGCTCGTATAATTCTTTCCTGAAAACGTACGTTATTCCGCATTCTTTTCAGCTACCACCTCGCTCCTTTGCGAGACAAACTACCCCTCATTTTTTTATTTTGTTCGCCTCGCTGGTGTGATTTTTGCAAATTATGACAGCATTCATAAAAATAGCTAAAATCTCCACTACGAATCATTCTGCGGCTGTCTCCAAGCAAAGCATGATGCGGTTATTTTTATAGCTGATGAAATTTGTTACCGGCAATGTTTAATACGAAGGCTATGCAATTATTGTCCCATTTTACAAATAATCGCCAGCTTACTTTTAGTCATTGGCCAAGATTACAGGTACTCTTTTGTTAACATGATAAATAGGTAACTCCTTCCGTTCAAAAACAATACTGGTCTCAGAAATAGCCTTACGGAATTGTTTTATTTGTGCAAATGGTATTTCGGGCAATCTACAAACACAATCAATACCATTGGCTAAGAAAGCCACAGCACAAAATAAAGGTTGTTTTGTTAGGGGAGAGAAAACACTGTAGTTTTATGGCTGTGCCCGCTGAACGTACTTATTTTTCTTTAGTGAGTGTTTGAGTTTGACGTAATAGGACATAAATAAAACTCCGAGGGACGCCATGGTGGAGGGCTCCTTGTGTTTTCTAACGTGCTCTCCAACGTAAATACAGGGACGTCAAGCTTTCCCGCTCTTTGGAATTGCGACCGCTACGGGGGTGGTGAAACCCACTACATATGGTTCAGCTACCATAAAACGTAACCACTGTACAACGGCACTGTTCTGTTCATTGCTGAAAAATATTAAAATTTGTGTCTGTAAAAACAACACATTTACATAATTCCATTTCACGAGTGTCATGTGTGCTCATATAAATCTTAGCGCTTTCTTTTTTTGTGTTTGTAATTTTTGCGTTTTATTGTAAAGTATATTCTGCTAAAACCCATAAGCAGACTTGAAAGTGGCGATTTCCTCTTGGGGTAGTCGTCTCACGCATCACAAAGTGTGATATCAGCCAGTTTCGCACATGATGCTATACATTGCTAATTAACCGTTTACAGGTGGCGATTTCTTTCATTAGATGGCTGCGTGCGTTTTTCATTTATTATTTCTTTTGTCGTTCTGAATTAAAACGTAACACAAAGAACGCAACTGGCAGAGCCTCATCGTGAATTATGCTTGCCCAGAGTCCATACTCACACTGAAGTCACGCACAAGTGTGTTCTATAGAGCTATAATATAACTAAGATACAAGGATATTTTCCCTTCAATATCCTAGCTATCCCGATGAGTCGATGTCCTTACGTGTTTGTGCCGTCTCACAAGATCAAACTCCTGTGTATAGACTTTTGCATATTTTTGGCCTAAACCAACCATGAAACACTTTTTTGAGTAACTATAGAATTATTTCACTTGAATAGCGTGTTGCCTCACAAATTCAACACCGCAAACATTTTAGGAATCGGTCCAGTACGAGTGGAGTTGTATAAATTTGTCACATGCTGCAGTCGCATTTGAAAGCGGAAGCTGAGCAGGGAGGAATGGAAGGGACGCACAAAAAACGTCACGCGCTCCTCGTGACCTTGGACACTTTTTTTTTTCTTTGAATACGTGGCTTTTCAGTGCAATCGCGCATGCACGTGTGGTTAAGTGACGCCCTCCCGCGGCGATCTCTGTAACGACCAAGCATGCCATGTTCAAATCAGCCAAAGGCTGATAGATGGGCTTATTATGAGTGGTTTTGGGGCTTATTGCGTGATTTGTTGAGGGAAAAGAAAGCATTTTAGCTGACTTCTATAATTTATTGAGAATACCAGGTCACGTGCTGCACTATAATATTTGGCTCACGTGTTGTCGGGAGCCTCTACTGGCTATCGGCAGTATTTTCTGATCATGTTCTAAAAGTGTTTCAGGGCCCCTTTAAGCTCCATGTCTTGTCTATGCAAAAGCAGCTTACACTGAAACACTCGTGAGAGAAGTTCGTTATCTAATAATGTGACCTGCATATCGTTCGCAGCGCCATCTAGTAAGTGGTATCAAGCATTTCACCGGGAAAATGATCATTCAAAACTAAAAGATTTTGTGAACTCTTTTCTCGATTTAGGAACTTCTGGGAGCAAACTAACCTGCTCTGCATTATATATTTTTTAAAGAAACAGTATTGCACGCTGGCATCAAACTGTAATACATGAAGTGTTTATTCAGACGACACGTAACACAGAAGTCAACTGGAGGCGCCGGCGGCGTTCCCGGCTATATGGCTCCGAGTGCCTCCTTCAGGGCGGGTAGCACGTGAGTTTCGGGTAGCTTGGCAAACACGGGCACGAAGCTACGGTCAGCGGCCTGCATCATGTCGAAGTAGGGTACGCCGCTAACTTGAGAGTTCTGCGGACTCGTGGCTATCCCTGAGAACGAAGGATACGATTCCAAGGCCACACCAACGCTCCACGCTGGCGTCTGCGAGGAGGAAGTGCTGCTGGCACTGCCGTTACCGCCAACCAGGCATTGGCTGAGCTTGCCGTTGAATGAGACCCCGGAAAATGTCACGGTCACTCGGCCGCGTCCCTCGGGTGTGGTCACGTTGTTGCCAGGGCTGTGGTAGTGATAAACGCCTCTCATAGTGCCATTCTATAAATGAGAAAAAAAAATCAAAGATAACTGTATTTAGGCAAGTTGGAACGACAAAAGAGAATCATTTCAGGGGCTTCTTTCTTTATTATTTACACGCAAATGAATCCAAATGAGAGTTAGGCCAAGGAAACCAGGGAACGTCATTTGTTATTTTTAATTGCAGTGTTGCAGTTACGGTGTAAACATGAAACAATTGAAATAGGGGAAAAACAACTTCCTCAGTGGCGGGACCCGAATGCAGAATCTTCGACACACGCGTAATTCGAAAGTTATTGGCCAGTAGCTTAAGGACGCGATGAATAAACAACGATACGTAATGACCTCAGTGCATTGCACGCCGCATACTGAAAACACCACTAGAAAATAATGGCGGAGCTTGAACTATGGAATTAGCCATGCAATCGTGGGAACAGCGACACTGGACGATTCTATGTTGCATCTAGGTACTTTGTAGGCTTTACCTAGGTTATAGAGGTTGTTTCCAGGTTGCTTTTATGTCGTTGGAGGCATTACCTCGGGGATGCTCAGTTGTTGCTACGTTTATCCTCAGCGCACAGAGGTTCGGGTTAAACTGCACGCAGTCACAGACTTTCCACAAGTGTCCAAACTCCAAAGACAACTCACCCTGAAACTAAGCGTTCGCAGGCCTCATAAGATCTACTGAGACGTTGTTGTCGGCCTAAGCCTTTCACCGCTTCTCGGTCTTTTTGCAGCCGACATTGGCTTCCCCATTACCTAGTGTTGGGCCACCTGGTACTTTCTTGGTTTTTTAGTTAAGCAGTAATGAAGTAGAATTTAGCCAATTTGTGTGGCACATGCACCTTTGTGATGATGATGATGATTTCTCGGATCCAACAGGGCCTTTCTCCTTGCCAAGTGTCAGGTTAACAGTTCCCTTCTTCATTAGTTATAAACCATGGATTGGTCATGGGACAACTCACGGACTATCTGTAGCGTATACCCATTTATGAATCGGGATGCGGCACGTATATACGGGTAGCTTAAGCAGCTACGCCGCTGAGTACTCCTGTGACAGCCATACGACAGCCTATAGACTAGTTCAACAGATAAGAAATACGGAAACGTTGTATGGCTCACGTATGACTGGCTATGCTGCATACGACACATCCAAAAGTAAGGAATGGGGGAGGGGGAGTTGTAGCAGCATGCCCATCGTATTCCCGAGAAAGCGATGGCCATTGGGAAGCCTTCTTACACGTAACTATACACAGGTTATGTCCGAAGTCTGTAACGTTCTTATACGTTCACTCTCCTTGCTGTACCTGGGCTCCCAAAGCACAATAGGATACTGAAAGGACATCTCAAGTACACTTCAAGCTGCTGCTGGCCGGACTTTTGCAGGACACAATCCCTGAGGTCACACTCGGCAGCAAATTCACCGGGAAAGTCACTCTCAAGGATTTCGGAGACTATAGTCGCCGACAACTTCGCTTGACAATGAAGAAAAAGCTATTAATCCAGACTGAACATGTGCAACCGCTGAAGAATATAGCCCCACAATTGCGTCCGTGTTTTTGCTGTGAAGATCCTATAAAACAACATTACATTATTTCTTACGGCATGTTGTTGTTAAAATGACCCGGCCCACAATAAATAAATATTCACATCACTTCAACTTTATGTAGTGTCATATGCGCGTGTAAAAACGTCGCTCGTTTAACATGCACCTGACAGTCAAAATGGCGTCTTCCTCTTTTCCAGTTTTTTCGATTACTCACTAAAGAATCTTGCGGTGAATTTCACTTCAATGTTCTTGTACAAACACACCAAGTAAACTTTATTGATTGTTAACATTCGAACACTCTAGTCATTCGAAACAGAAAACTAATCGCAATGAATCGCGGAGGAGTACATCTGCAGTACCTCCGCCCCTGCAGCTTTCCTATCATTGCCAAGAAACGTTGTCACGCGCATAGTATGGGATTGTCAGCAATGTAATGTCGCGACTCCGTTCAATCTGGCTGTACCTACGGGAAGCCCCAATTTATTCTCGACGCTTTCGCCGTCCCATATCTCGCTGTAACTCCACCAGCCACCATATTCATTCCGCGTGTCAACTAAAGGAAGCGAGTTTAAACACAATTGACATCTACACTCGTGCTGCTGTCTCTGAAGGCGAGGTCTATATAGCATGGTTTTCATCCAAACAAAGAAGGAAAGAAGGAAGGAATGGCAAATAGAGGAGGCACGGGGGCTAACAAAACAGCAGTCCGGTTAGCTACCCTTCACCGGGGGATCCGAGAAAGCGGATCACTCAAAAGGTGAGGAAGAGAGTTGGTTCTTTTGCATACAAACGACTGCATATGACTGCCTCATTCAGTGTGGCAACACGGTGCATTGCTATGCCCTCACTGAGTGTGGAGAAATTGCTTGTCCCCCATTTATATACTGTGCCTAAGGCAGTCCTCGTTTGGCAAACCGAAACATACCCCACTATGTAAAGGTTGTCTATGCCGGCCAGTTGGTACTTCATTGCCAGGTCTGCTTTAAGCGTCAACTTAACGATATTACAAGACAGGAAAGAGAGGCACTAGAAAGGTTTTTGGGAGGGAAGCGGTATGAAAGACGAAAAACCAAGCAAATAATGACACAAGAGCGTTGGTCTTTGCCTGGTCTTTCGTCTGTCGCGCAGTTCCCCTCCAATATGTCGTACCAACGTGCCCAAGCAACCACTTCAGGTAGCATGTAAGCTTTCTTTCGCGTCCCTTGCAAGTACAAAGCTTTGAAAAAGACCACGTGTTAGCCTCTCACTGCCTCATTTGCAGTAGCACGCCTCTTTCCTGTTGTCCAACTTTCCAAACTTTGTTTCTTGGCGAAAAACTAAACCTTGCCGTGCTATTCTTAATTAGTTCGCCCCACTCAGAATAAGATGCAGCTTGTGATGTTGAATGCATCCTTCGCATGTATGAAGGGGAAAACGATCTAATGAAAGCCCATCTGGGCGTCGAGGCATCAGGTTCTATCCGGGTGTAATACAGTGAAGCACTCTACCGTTTGTTCTATACGTAGTTGACGAACATTTCTTGCTTCTACATTCTCTGGATGAATTCGTATGTGTTGCTAAGTAAATTATTCCTCCGGTGATCAGAACGCATGATATAGGTACCTGACTGTCAACTGGCAAGTATTAAAACATGAAGCAAGTAATTTCAAACACGTTTGGTGAACTATATTTTGACTTTCGTTTCTTGCTCTACTGAAGAAAAAAAACATAGGAAACCGCATATGCAAAAGTTACTATTTCGCACCAGTTGCAGAAGCAGCTATAATGATGTACATCACCGGCTAATCATACGAGTGTGTGGTCTGTGTAAATCGCTGCATGACTTGCATATTATACGTCGGGAACTTATTCGTTAGCGAAATATAAGTGGCGGCATCGTAGTGCGCAGTGTGCAGTGCAGTGCAGTGCCCTATAGTGTGCCGTGCCTCGTAGTGTGCAGTGCCCCATAGTACCTTTTATTTTTCCGGCTGACACGCAAAAAGATAGTTTACTGAGGACGAAGGAGACAACGGGGACAAGCGCTAAGGCCAAGTTTCGTCCGCTGTCTACTTTTTTTTTTGCACGCCAGCTGTAAAAATATAAAAAACTGGGGGACGCTTAGGCTTCGCCTTTAAAACGCGATAGCGAAATTTGACCTCTAGTACGCCCTTCATCCACTAAATGCGTACTTATTATTATGTTTTGTTACATACACACACGCACACAATAGATTGTATCAGCGCGTGCGGTCGAATGGTACATACACGTTTTTGATCTAAAGCAAGTGTCGCATGGTTTCTAAGATACACACCATGCGCTTGCCATCTCGGAGGCCATAAAGAGTCTGACAATGCCTCAACGATGGCAGCACATCTAGCGTTTGCTCTTTGCTTGATCAATGCCTCTGCAAAGGCAGGATATGTTTTCCGCTAGATGAACATAGTTGTTCATTTTTAAAGCTGTTTGAAAATTCCTGTGTATTTTTATCGGCAATGGTGGCACTATCCCGACTTCTTTCGACGTAGTTTGAGGCCTCCGAAATGCGCCTACAAATCGCCAAGTGGGCTCGTTTTTGTAGTGACGCCTGTCGAACAAAATGCGTTAAAGAGGCCCTGAAACACGTTTTAAATATTCGTGGAATGAATTCACTAGAAGAGTTTATTACATCACAAGTCCAACGCCGCAGAAAGTTTAAGAATCCATCCAGTGCGAGTGGAGTTACAAAGGTTTCGCCCATGCTGCGATTGCATTCTCTCGTTCAGACGAAAATGCTGAAAGCTAAGCAGGGAGAGGTGGCAGGGGCAAAGAAACTACATCTCCCGCGCCTGGTGACCTTGAGCACTGTTTCGTTTTTCTTCGAATGCGTGGCTTTTTCAGTGTGATCACGCGCGCACTCGTGGACAAGTAGCGGCCTCCCGTGGCAATCTCTATAAGAAGCTTTGGCTACATTGCGCCACTTTGGCTACACTTTGGCTACATTGCTACAAGCCACTTTGGCTACATTACGCGAAACTGGCTATGCTTTTTGACCCGTTTGCGAGGAAAATTTATAGTTGGCGACATGGATATTTTCTTGCTACTTTTCAACTACTGTTGTTACTTGTCGAGAATGCTTCTAATTATTTATCAATATAACCAACCACTATACATAGCCTTCATAGATTACGAAAAGGCGTGTGATTCAGTAGAAATATCAGCCGTCATGCAGACACTACGGAACCAGGGCGTCGATGAAGTATATATAAACATCCTGGAAGAAATCTACAGGGGATCAACTGCTACCATAGTGCTTCATAAAGAAAGCAACAGAATACCAATCTAGAAGGGTGTAAGGCAGGGGAACACAATCTACCCAATGGTATTTACCGCGTGCTTACAGGAGGTTTTCAGAAGCCTAGAATGGGAACAGTTAGGGATAAGAGTTAATGGAGAGTACCTTAGTAACCTGCGCTTCGCCGATGACATTGCATTGCTGAGTAACTCAGGGGACGAATTGCAACTCATGATTACGGAGTTAGACAAGGAGAGCAGAAAGGTGGGTCTCAAGATGAATCTGCAGAAAATGAAAGTAATGTAAAACAACCTCGGAAAAGAGCAGCGCTTCGAGAAGGTAATAGGGCACTTCAAGTTGTAAAAGACTATGTCTACTTAGGGCAGGTAATAACTGCGGAGCCGAACCACGATGTTGAAGTAACTAGAAGAATAAGAATGGGGTGGAGCACATTTGGCAAGCACTCTCAAATTATGACAGGTAGATTGCCACTATCCCTCAAGAGGAAGGTATATAACAGCTGTATCTTGCCGGTACTCAGCTACGGAGCAGAAACTTGGAGACTTACAAAGAGGGTTCAGCTTAAATTGAGGACGACGCAGCGAGCAATGGAAAGAAAAATGGTAGGTGTAACCTTAAGAGACAAGAAGAAAGCAGAGTGGATTAGGGAACAAACGGGGGTTAAGGATATCATAGCTGAAATCAAGAAGAAGAAATGAACATGGGCCGGGCATGTAGCGCGTAGACAGGAGAACCGCTGGTCGTTAAGGGTAACTGACTGGATTCCCAGAGAAGGCAAGCTGGTTAGGGGGAGACAGAAGGTTAGGTGGGCAGATGAGATTGATAAGTTTGCGGGTATAAATTGGCAGCAGCAAGCACAGGACCGGGTTACTGGCGGAAAATGGGAGAGGCCTTTGTCCTGCAGTGGACGTAGTCAGGCTGATGATGATGATGATGATGAATAGTTTAAGAGTGCGCATAATGCCGCTGCGGGTCTGTTTGGCTACATAGCTGGTAATAGTAATACGTGACATGACTACTTTGGCTACATTTGGCTCGAGTGCTGGCCCCTTTTAAAGTCCACCCAACGCCAACCTTGCTGCTGATGCAATCCAAGAAATGCTTACGTCACGTCGTTTCCCCAGAAGCTGTGGACTAAAGAACGGTCGTTTTAGAGAACACGTTACCACTTTATGACTTCCGCACCCGTTCTGGAGCTTGGTTCCTTTCGTACTCAAGTCCTTAACTTACACGGGGCGCTGCAGTGGAACTTGGCGGCCTCAGTGAGGAACCACGCGCACGCCAATGAGTTGCACACGATTGATGATAGCCGAAATGACTTTCAAACGTCTTACCATGCCGACACCGATGACAAATGGAAACTGCCGCACGTCACTGCGACATACGGCATGCTGTGCGGTCACGTTCACGTCGGTGAGTACCAGTGGGGCAAGTGTGCCGTTGTACAAAGTGTAGCTAGGAGCAGACAAGCCGGCCACAGGAATGCTCTCGGGTAGGACAGCAGCCATTCTGGCCACGGCATTACGCAGCAATGTATGTGCTTCCTGCAGCTCCCTCTGGTTGCACAAATCAGGGCGCTGCGTTGTTGGTGGTTCTTCTAGAGACTGGGTCTGGGCTGCAGTGTGGAGTACATTTTTTTGGTACGCTTAGACGACCGTGCAACACAATCATTACTAACGATCGGTTCAATTCTGCTGACAATATTACATCCAATTCCATCTCCTCTTTATTACAATGACAGGCTTACTTATGTTTCTCTGTGCCTGGGATTCATCGTTTATGTGTAACAAGCACCGTCATTTCACTCCCATCTTTTCCTGGTATTTCCGGCACTGTTGGAACCTTCTCTACTCTTTCGGATTTTTTTATTTCTACCTGCGTGCACCGCGCGCATTTTTGAATATTTTCTGGAATGTACGTGACGTATAGCATTTGTGCTAAGGTATCACACCAAAAATATGGAATAATCAACGCATTGGACACACTTGTCAGATATTAATTAGTAATAAGGACCACGTTTGCAGTGCCGTGTGTTATGCATGTCTTGTTGAGTTAGGCAGAATAGCACCCCTTTGTATTCTTTATCGGTTTCGCTGTAGCGAAACCGATAAAGTATCGATAAGAAACCGATAAGAATTTTTGTCACATCGTCGACGCTTCATAAATAGTTCACGTCTAACCGGCTCAGCTTTTAACAGGCTTAGCGTCACTTGCTTTATCTACAACGCGAAGAAGAAGAAGATAAATAAATTTTATGGTGTCAGTATTCTGGAAATAGAATAAAATCTTTTTGAAACAATTATGGGCCACACGGCATCACAAGACCAAACGTGCTTCACGCTGCAAATTCAAGCTTTTGGCGTATGACAGCGCTAAGAACACGAAATTTGTGCATGCTTTGCAACAATGACGTGAAACTTTACAGATAGATATAATTAATTTCTCATAACTAATTCATATCGGGGAATACACACCATGCTAAGCTATCAAATTTCTAGCGGCAAATACACACCATGCTAACAATCACACACGGCTTTGCTCTCAATGCCATGCAAATCTCTAGGGCCACACGTTTCGCCAAGAAACTCATGCTTTGTCACACCTTGAATGACAACTATTTGCTGTGCCTCTCCTAGCGAAAAAAGTTCCAAGTTATATTTATGCTATTGTTTTATTCAGTCCTCGATACACCAGAGGTGGTTCACTGCAATGGTAAACTCATCCCCCCCCTCCCACAAAAAAAACTAACGCCATACACAAGTATACCTAGAAAGGTCTTTAGGTTATTGCAAATGCCTCGCCAATGTTTACACAAACTTGTAGTCTATGATAACACCAAGATAAGCACTACATCGTAATTAAAAAATTATAAAACACTCCGAAGCTCCGCTCAAGTGCAAAAGCTTCATTGATTATACTCTATTTCCTGACAGGTGCGTTAGCCTACGTGCAGCATACCTACATGGTTGTATGAACGCTGTATTTTGCTTCACTACTAATGCATTTCGGTGCAAAAAGGCATGACTACTTTGTTTACTGGTTTTAAGTATATGAACACGCATTGTTAACCTTACTAAGGCTTATAGATTGTCCCTAAATGCTTTTTGTGCTAAGTCTGCAATAGATGTCTCCAATAATACAAGCGTTTGCTCTTGTGGTATCTAAATGAAGTATAATGAAATATATGGATGTACGAAAATCTTATCGCGGGCAAAATGTTTTATAAAACGGTCATGTGTTACTAACAACAACATCTCACAACCTCATCTCTCACTGACATTTTTCATAAAGTCCATTTACCATGTACATAGGCTGAGAAACTCTTATGCTTATACATCATCGGGACATCAGATGCTCTTCACAATCTATCATGACAAACACAATAAAGTACGTGTGAAAAGTCATCATTGAAAACTATTTTCGTGAGCACAAGAAGACGCATGCGAACAAAACAATTAATGCAAAACAAGTAAAATATTTAGTATAGGCACCACGCGTAGCGTCATCATCATAATAATAATAATACTTTATGGGGTTCAACGTCCCAAAACCTCGATGAGATTTTAAAAAACATTCATTGAAGTGACGCGTTGCGCACACCGATGTAATGTTCATTGTGGCCCCATCCCTCTACATCTCTTGGGTGTTGAAAAGTCGTTGAATTGTTGCACCTAATGACGCAATAATAGATAGTCATATACTGAACTTCTCAGAAAAATAGCATCGACGACCAGTAGGCAATCATATGCTTCTGCCACAATGACGGTCACGATAGCACAACACGCTTTGACAGCAAAGGCGCTGTCTCTTCAGTAAATTCTTGCGCCTATCACATTGGCCTGTGGTGCCAAGAAATTTTGTATTTATTGTGACATACAAAGCATGCGACTCACACGCAATCCATATGTACGCTCTTACCGTAGGAGAGGCGGGTCAAAGAAAGCCAGGAGTACCTTAATCTACCCAGTTCTATCGCTTAGTTAAGCAGCCGTATACTCCCGAAAGGTCATTCACCAGCAACTACGCACAGCGCAAAGCTCATGCGTTTGCCAGCAACGGTAGACGCGCATCAAACTACAGGTAAAGAATGAAATTGCACGTAGCCAAGCCCTCACCCAGTGATGCCGCAAGCAGTGGTACCAGCAGACTAGTAAACAGTGAACGCATGCCGTCAGTGGTTTTGTCCTCCGCTCGGCAACCACGACACTGCGACCCGCCCGTGATCTGGCCTTCTTCCGCTGCTGTCAGGGTTGGGCGCTGCTTCGCTTTCGCGGTTCGCGCGAATCGTCATGAAAAAGGGGGTGGGTGGGGCATCTCCCGTTTCAGACGCCGTCCTTGATATCTTTCTCCCACGGTTTTCCCCGGAGTCTTGGTGTGCAAGCTGGCCACACGCGACACCAAGTGGTGGTGATAACGAGCTGGAAAAACAAGAGAAAACGGGGGAGGGCGCGAATGAAGCGTCGTAGAAAGTGCAAAATTAGAAACACCCATACGGAGCCCAACTATTGCGTCAAAGATGACGTCGTTTCATTCAAAGATGAGTGGTGGCAACTGGTTGTTGATTCCAGGCAAGTATACAGAGAGAAGTGAAACAAATGTTTTTTTGTAACAATAACTGCATTTGCTGTGTGCTTTATTGTGAATATTGCTGACTAGCATGGTATTCACCATATGAGAAGTGCATGCGCGCCTGTCCTTGCCGCCATTGCAGCCAATGCCGCCGACGAAACCGCCTTAACGCACGGCGTCTATTCCCAGTAATGCGCAGCTCGACTGCGCGAGAGGCACGCCCGAACTTGAGCTCGGGTTCCTACTGCCTTGCTGCAATAAAGAAAAACAAACGTTCATATTCGTGTCATCGTACGCTTTCTGCGCATCTTGAGCGTTGCCATTCATAGCATACATTAACCAGCCCAACCAGGGGCAGCGCCAGGATTTCTTTACCAGGAGGCGAGAGGTTGCCCTTGACAAGTGAGTTTCTTCACGGGGCCAGAGTGTCTGGGAACACATGCATTTTATTTTGACAATTCTTACTCTTGAAAGAGGTGGGAGGGGGTATGGGGCAAAACTTTTGAGGGGCTACATCACCCCACACCGCCCTTTCACTGAAGCCGCCCCCCCCCCTCCCATAGCCCAACTTTGATCTGTTTTTAAGGATATGATATCACACAATTCACTAGCGAAGTGATGATCTCGACAGACCTCGAACGGCCTATCGCGCGGCCGCGCAACACTGGCGCTGTTACGTCATGAGCAGGTGCCGGAAGGCAAGTCCAGACTTGTCGAGCAGCCCACAGAGAGTTGTATGAGCATGGCCATATGGGGTGCCTCGGCGTTCTCAGTTGGTAGTTCATGCGCGTGGTAGCAGCTGAATAGTTTCTCCTGCTATGCTTCAAAAGCACTACCACGCAGAAGGAAAGTGTCCAGTTTACCACAGTGTTCGTAGGACCCAGGCGTTGCCTGCGCGGGCATTATAGGGTCAAATCTGGGGACGCTCTCTGACGCACAAGCTACGATATTGTTGTACAACCATGAACAACACTATACCTCCTGAATGATATGGAGTAACACTCGCCAAATTTCATGGCAGCAAGCACTGAAGCACTCGCGAATGCGCTTTGCGATCAGCTCTTCATGACCGAGATGTAAACTTCGTCCAAACGAAATGAGCTACCCTTCTAGCACGTCAAATTTCAAGTAGTAGACACATTCCACTTGATGCGTTAGAAAAATTTATTTTACGGCAGACAGTTAGCGTCAATAACAGTTCAACATTTCTTTATGACATGCTTACTATACATAAGTTTGCGGGATTACCAAAACATAATTTAGTTACATGAACACAACACATTGAATGACATGAAGGCAAGACGCACATTCGATGCGTAGCAAACATGTACAGGGCATCCCAATTATCACGCAGCGTAATTTAAACAGCAAGAATAGCGTTACATGAAGCAAAGGTAATGCATACTGTAGTTTACTGTACTTTACTTTAGTAGCTGTTACTAATTTGTTCGTAAATGGCAAATAAAGAATTAGCCATAATCATATTCGTATTTATAGGGTACTCACCTAATAATCAAAATGTTTTTGAGGCAGATGTGCGCATGTTGAAGCGACATCTGTCTGAGCTACTTTCAGCAACGGAATGCGAGTTCATTTTTTCCCGATAGTAAAGAAAGCCCACGAAATACCAAAAATAACACGTGGCTAAACCGCTGCCCGCTTTAAAAAGAAGCACCCTGAAACAAGCTAACTTTGGGACAGCCAGTAGCAATGAAGAAAATGTAGAAATAAAAAAACACAGCATATCCACGGAATGAAGGATAATGACTGGGGCGAAGCATCCGTCAATCTGTCCCTGCTTCTGGCTGTGCGTCCGTCTATCCATACGTGCACCCATTCGTGCGTCTGTACGTGCGTTCATTTGTGCGTCCGTCTGTGCGTGCCTTCGTGTGGTCGTTCGTCCGTCTGTGTGCCTCTCTGTCCGTCTGCTTGCCTGTTTGTCCGTCCATCCATCTGGTGAACACAATAATCTCGCTTCTTTTTATCATATATTCATCATCTACAAGTACCGCAATCCAGCGGATAAACCAAGAAAATAAACGAGAGTATCTACCACATTTCTGCTGTCAGCGCTTCGTTAACACCGAGAGCTTAATAACGACGCCGTGCTGCGTTTTTCGTGACATGTGGACATGCGGATATGTGCCCGAGGGCGGGTGTGTACCACTGGTATGCAGGTATGTGCCACAGGTTACGCACTATGACAACGGGAGACGCACAAGGCACACCATAAGAAGCTTCGCTCCTAAAAAACCACGGATCGCGCTATGTGCCACTTTTCGTCTGAATACACCGCCTTGATCTTACTCAGTCCGGCTGCAATTACTGTAATTAGAAAAGGTGATGGGGCCGCATTATAATTGAGCACAGTCGACCGTGAGATATTAATGGTAATGGGGACGTAGAAACAAGCGGGAAGAATCTCTGCAAAACTTCGACACATGTTGCTGGCACCCGACCTATACCCTTGCCAATATGCACGACGTCCGCTGTCTTTGATAACAAAAAAGAAGCAAAGCGTTTGCTTCTAGTAAGATTATTTGAGGGCACTGCTTTCTTTTGGGGGTGTGAGTGCAGTCAAGTGTTATTTTTCATATTTTGAGGAGTTTGTTTATTCACAAAGAGAAATTAGCACACAATTATTACTGCCGCGTCCTTATTTGTGTCCATCTATACGCTGGCGTCGGTGAAAACGACGACTGATCCACGCGAGATGGCTCAATTTGTTAAGTGACAATATACTTACCTTCAGTGCTTCGACTTGTTGTTGTTGTTCTCCTATCGTTAGTGGCGCATACCCACTGTGGGGGATTGGCCAAGAATCGAGTGGCTTTAAAATTTACTGTTCAGATTTAGAATGATGGAGGTATAACAGAAAGATTACCGATAGCCTATAGGCAAGTGTGGTGCTTAATGTAATGCATAGAAATATTTACATAAACAAATTTATTCTTAGAATAGAGCATTAGTCTGATTTTATACGTATATAATTAGGTGAACATGTTAAGATAATGAAACTGGTTAATTAGTCAACCTATTAGTTTCATCAATATAGTCCCGGACGGCCGCGCATACTGTGCCATTACAGAAACCAGAAATGGAAGCTCCAAAAGACAAAATGACAGGCAGAGATAAGTCCATACCAATGCCACGCTAAGGTATTTCTAATAGGGTTTTTCGTAATGTGTTAAACCGCCTGCAGGTCAAAAAGAAATGGTCTATTGTTTCCAGTTCATCACAGAATGCACACAGTGGCGAAGGTGCCTGAGCAGACCTGTGTTTATAGAAATTTAGATTTGGTACCCGGCAACGCAGCCTTGTGATAGCTACTTCTTGTTTTCGAGTGCGGCAAAAGTCTCTTCGCCAGGGATATAATAAATGGCGATATTCTGTAGAGTTTGTTAGTGCTGAACCTTTAAAGACTTGCATAAGCGTACGTCTGCGGAATCGAGCAGCAGTCACATAAGCGGATGATGGACAGAGCGGTAGAATTGGTTCGCTAATTGACGACTTAGCTAACGAATCTGCTATTTCATTAAGAAACAAACCTTTATGTCCAGGCACCCAAACTAATCGCACTTTTCTTAAATGCGCAGGTACTAATGCACGGAACGCCTTTGTTACGTGATTATCAGCAACAACAAAAAGTGCCGCACAAAGAGATAGGGAATCTGTTATTATGACAGCTGATGTAATTGCTGTATCTAACTTGCGTAAGGCGAGCACTACTGCCAGAAACTCAGCCACAAAAACGGGTATGAAATCGGGTAGTCGAAGGGAATAAATCCAATTTAAAATAGGGCTGAAAATACCAACCCCTGACTTTTCGTCGTATTGCGATGCGTCTGTAGCAATAATAACGTTCGTTGTAATACGGCGCAGGTGATCTTGGAGTAAACCATCCAAAATAATATGGGGAAGTAATTTGGCATTATTAGGAAAAATGTCGTCGAATTGAATTTCTACCGCGGCTGAATTATAACGACTCGGCATGATGTCGCATATACGTACGTTTAGAGGCTCCAGTAAATTTTGCACAAATATAATTTGTGGCGTGTGAAATCGCGGCCATCTGGCAGCAAAAAATGATTCCGGGGTGGAAATAAAGGCTGTTTCTGAATGTCGTAATGGTGATTCATAAATTCTTAAGAATGTCTGAACAGTCAGAAGGCGAAATTCGACAAGAAAGCGGAGGGACCCTCGATTCGAGATATAACACATTGTTGGCGACTGTTTTGGGAAGGCCAAGGCATAAGCGTAAAGCTTATTTTTCCAGAAGAATTAGAGGCCGCAACTTGTAAGCTGGAACTCCAGAGAAACGCACACAACCAAATTCCAAAATGGGACGACCATACATGCGATATATCATTAATAATGTGTCTCTTCTCATACCTATGCGGTAGTTACTTAGCCTACGTAATATGCCAATGGCCCGCACACCTTTTCCGGCGATATATTCGATATGAGATCGCCAGTTGAGCGATGTGTGATAAATTACTCCAAGGTATTTAACAGATTCCACCTGTGGTATATCCTCATGATGGTAAGACAGAGAGATGTTCACAGGGTATTGCAGCGGGAAAAGAAGGAAGGCACATTTACTTGGATTAAGTAAAAAGCTGTTGCCATGGAGCCAGCTCTCCAATATATTTAGGTAAGTCTGCAGCCGTTCATATAAGGTCTGAATGTTATCTGCCATTGCA